GAATATATGGCAGTGGAGATGACGTGGAAAGTTAGAAGAACTGAAATGGTGGTTATCTCATGTGTAGTGTAATACCCATGGACTGATACGGGTGATTTGATCCGATCTGAGGTGTCACACTAGGGTCACCAGAACGACTTACAATAAAAATACGAGAAAAATTAAAATTTTCAGAAAATATGTAAAATTGTAAATTAACTTTATAAATACAATACAAGTTCATAAATCATTCAAATATTAAAATCAGAATTTTAATTATCGTACATCATATCATACAAGTTTCAGACTCCGTATGAAAACAAATACGACCTACATGCCTCCTATTTATACATGCACCATACTCTGTAAGCAAAGCCGAAAGAACTTCCATACTGATATTGATACTGGACATGATCAATTCTTATAATCTGAAATGGTGAGTAAGAGAGTGAGATTTGGGAAAGCTCAGTAATACAATACTACCAACAGATGCTAAAGGCCAAGCATATATATGATGCATCATGAAGATTTCCTTAGTTATCCAGAAATATACATGTCATAGGATGAGTTGAAGTTTTACTAATTAGTTCTTGAAGTAACAGTTAGGAAGCTTACCATCTAGAGGAAATGTTCAAAGAGACATATTTAGAAGATGGAGTTCGGAGTTGAGTGCGTTCCAACAAAACCAGAAATAATGATTTATTTCAACAAAACATTTTTTTTTGAACACTCAGTAATACCCTCCAACTAAACACTCCACATGCAGTTCCCCAAAACGGAAGCTTACCATCAGAGGAATGTTCAAAGAGACATATTTAGAAGATGGAGTTCGGAGTTGAGTGCGTTCCAACAAAACCAGAAATAATGATTTATTTCAACAAAACATTTTTTTTTGAACACTCAGTAATACCCTCCAACTAAACACTCCACATGCAGTTCCCCAAAACTACATTCATAAAGACTTACCCTATACCCAATGGGTATAGAAGTCTAATAAAAATGATCATAACATAAAGGAATTACCAGCTAGCTAAACATCAAACTCCATACACCTACCAAGACCTAGGAAAACAGTTTCAGACAATATCAGTAGTGTCAGAGATCAGGAGCTAGATATATTTTGTATCAGAAAATAGAGATAAGAGATCAGACTTTTATTTCAGATATCATAGACATACTTTTAAAAATAGAGAAAATATTTATGTTCATAAGGAACACACTAAAGGATTCAAATATTTTTGGAAGGCACGCAGTAATTATCATAGAGGGAAACACGAGCTTCTATAAGTTGATTGGATTTCTGAAACGGGATCCTATAAGAATATTTTGATTACTAACATCTTTAATAAGATATTTCGGGGCCATTTAGAATTTCAGTGTGTCAGAAAGGTATTCAGGAACTTTTACATCAGAATTGTTTTAACTTCATATATCATAGGTGTGACTCCATTATTCAAACCATCAATAGAAATTTAGACATTTTGATTCTTGAAGAATTCTTAGTACGTTAACCTAGTAGGGGTAAAACAATAATTTGCAATATTCATGAGTTATATCCAGTTATCAAGATTCCAAGTCAAATTTAACTAAACAGTTCCCAGCATTGCTATACTTGCCAGTCATACAGACTTAGATATTTCATGAATATTCACCTCTTAATGTTTACTGTACTAGTTGAACTGATCACATTCAAAATCATCTTTGATTAGATATCGAGGAAACGAGCAATTATTTCGATGGTATTTATTTAATTTTTGTATTACAGAAGTATTCCAGAATGTCCGACGTTTTTGGGTTGTGCTTCAACCTTAAAAGAGGCGGTACAACACTTAGGTTTACTAATGTTTCCAGAATTAATCCAATGTCATCCATTTAATTCTAGGTCATAAGGGTATTCATGTTATTTTAGCACACGATGTTATTTTAGTCAATTTAAAGTTCAAGGTATTTTGGTCCTCGTATGATTCAAGGGCATTTTAGTCATTTTAATACTTAAGGGTATATCTGTCATTTTTTTGATTCAATAGTATGGATCATTCTAATAATTTAGTTATCGAGTGCATATTCCAAAAACCAAAAATTCTAAGTCTTTTGCTATCTCCAAGGTTAAAAATCGGTTATCTAGGTTTTTTCTAAACAAAACAAGCATTTGCCATGTAAATCGGTAGTTTAATCAGATCAATATGTCTTTTCAGAGTTATTTTCCATTTCTAGGGACAATCCTTTCTTTTTACATCATAATGGTATTTTTATAATTTACCCCGTAGGGGTATTTTTATAATTTACCCCATAGGGGTATTTTTGTAATTTTACTATACAATAATTTTCAGTATTCGACCTTTAATGAAAGTAACCAGAATTTACAGATCTTGAGGATGCTTGCTTTACCACTTAATCACAAACTTGGAATTTAATTCCTATCGGTCTTCCAATTTCTTATGCTAATCATCTGAGTTATATTTAGTTTACTAACTTTACACCATATCCAGTTTGAGTCCAGTAATAATTAACTATACGTAAATGATCAATAATATTTATTCATGCAACCCATACCAATGAGTTCCCTAAAGCATGCAAGAAGTAGTAATGTATTACATCGATTTTTATGCCATATCAATAAACCAATTAAGCTTCATTTGATCTCTCTTGCACTTAAATTCGACATCCCATAATATCTCTAAGACAAGGCCTAATGAAATACGTTAGATACAGAACTTAATCGGGAAAACTATTCAAATCAGATGATAAAACGTTGAAAAACAGCTCACCCGGTTCGAATTTGGAGAAACAGACTTCAGATTCGGACTTAGGACATTGAGAAACATTAAATAGGATTTTTTTAATAAAATTTTGACTTGTTGGTCAAAGTTAACATTCAACGCAGTCAAAGGTCAAAGTTAACTTTGGGCAGGTCAAGGTCAACGGTCTGACCGGTTTGAATTGACTCAGATCGATCCGATTTGACTCAGACTAGTTGGGTCCGAGTTGACTCAGCTTCAAGAAAAATCTGAGATGTTGGTCAGGCCCCACGCAATGGAGGCTCGTGGTTGCACGTGCGATATCGAAGGTATTTCCATGCGGTCGATTACTCCCTATTCAAGTACTCATCAAAATCAACCCAAAACATAACTATAATCCATACAAAACACGAAGTAATTAAACGAAAAGCAAATCGGATCTTACCAACGCCGACAACGGTGAAAACGATGGTGGTAAAGTGACCCACTAGTCGAGTCTTGGTCGGACGGTGATAGAGAGTCTATGATTAGGGGTTGTGAGGTGTAACAACGATGAATTCGACCGGAATCGAAGAAAAATAGAGATAGACAATTAGGGTTTTTACGGGTATTTGATCAACTCTATATGGCGAACGACGACGATTCACGATTGAGAGGTACTGGGTTTTGATCGAAGCACGAAGACATTTCTATTGGTGCCGACGGTGTCGAACACCGTCGACTCAACGACGACGAATCAACAAAAATAGGACGGGCTTAAGGTTTTATGACAAAGTTTTGAACGACCCTTCACAGCTAACGGTGTCGATTTATGGCAAGAGGATAGAGGGATTTTGATCAGATGGAAGTGTCACTCCTCTTAGTACAAGCGATGACAATCATGGCGGCCAGAGTAAAGTGGAAAGCGACGAGGGACGAAGTTTTAAAAGTTTTCGGGTTTCGATTTTGTTTCAAAAGGAGAACATTGTTTTGCCACCTGATATGATCTTAATCAGTTTTAAAATATATTTCGAATAAAAAACACCAACTACATAACCTAGCCTAGTATAGCAAGTAAAGGAAATGGTGGTGGGAGAATTACGGCTCGAGCCCATGATCTAATTGGAAGTTCACAAAATAGATTACAACTTTCAAATTCTGACCATTTGGTCCCTATAATAATAATTAAAATTACTAATATTATTCCAATGATTTCGGGGTGTTACATGTAGAAAGAAACAACTCAATTATTTAACATGCCAATATTCTATCACTCCTATTTATTATAAATAAATTAATGTTAGTGACTAAATCGTTAGTTTTGAAATAATAGTGGTTAAAACAAAATGTTTTCAAACATAAGTAACCATTTATGTAGTTGTCCTATAAAATAGGTATATTTACATAGTTAGGCCTATTTTAATACAGTATCGGGCCAATCTCTAGTTTCTCCCTTTCTCTAATTCCTCTAGATTAGGATTCTGAAAATTTCCCATTTGGATCCGTAGTCATGTCGTCTACGGGTCGGAAAATCATACTGAAGAGCTCAGACGGCGATAACTTCGAGGTGGACCAGGCGGTGGCTCTGGAATCACAAACGATCAAGCACATGATTGAGGACGATTGCGCTGATAGTGGCATCCCTTTACCCAACGTCACCAGCAAGATCCTCTCTAAAGTAATCGAGTATTGCAAGAAGCACGTCGAAGCATCTGAATCCGGGATCCTTCAGCTTCCCACGAAGGTGAGCTTAAAGCCTGGGATGCTGATTTCGTCAAGGTCGATCAAACCACCCTATTTGATCTCATTCTGGTAAAGCCCTCTCTTTTCACCACTTGTTTCTTTTTAGATTTAGAGTCTAATTTAATGTATATTTAAAGCTCTTTTGTTTGTTGAAGGCTGCTAATTATTTGAACATCAAGAGCTTGTTGGCCCTGACTTGTCAAACTGTGGCGGACATGATAAAGGGCAAAACGCCGGAGGAAATCCGTAAGACATTTAATATTAAGAATGATTTTACTACGGAGGAAGAAGAAGAGGTTCGTCGCGAGAATCAATGGGCGTTTGAGTAAAGGATCTTAATCGAACTGAACTTAGAATAATTTTTCATTTTCCATTTCACTTTTGAATGTGCTTGAGAACACGGGGTTGTTATCTCCGTCTGTATTTACTTATTTTAACTGTTTCTAATGTGTTAATAAATGTTGTTTTTAAATAAATATTTTTTTTTTGGGGGTGCGATTTTGCATGCGTTGATGTGTGAAACATGTAGGGTAAACATAGAAGATTATGCTAATACCAGGGTAAAAGAAAGTTAAAGTCATATTTATTATAGTGGAATGGCCTACTTGGGGATCCTGCTGTCTTTCTTTATAGATGTTGAACACATTGCTCTAATGCTTATTAAGGATATTAGCCCCTACTCATTGCTTTTACTGCTTACAGCAAATGGACTTCTGACTTTGTATTTTCCATTCGACCATGTTATGGATCCAAATGCATCTTTCTTTAGTGGATTTGCAGCTGAGAAGCTCACTTGGTAAGATGACTTGTCTCCATTTTTAGTGAATTGAAGTTTGTTTGGGATCACTTGAACATCCAGGTCTGCAGGTGCGTCGATACTTACTGTATACACTGATTTACCATCACCAGCAACAGTTGTAAGAGTTCTGTTTACTTTCCTGCCCGCCTTTCCATTGAAATTGGAAATCGCTATTGATGGATAATTGATGTTGGATATAAGATCAATGCTCGACTCCTCAGGACATGTAAAGCCATCTGGAATAGTTTTGGCGATATTTTTTATTGTAGTTATATTATAACCGTGGTAGCAGAGGAAATTCAAGTAGTCAACTGCAGTAGTCTCGTAAACTAGGCCTGGTTCCAATGGCCCTGTTGGGCTTACTTCTCCTGCCCCGAAATCATAAGGTGTAGCTGGTGTACCTTTCTCAGTCGTAATTGGGGCTTTCAGATTATTTATCTGAGTTGCTGAAATTCGGTTAGAAGCAGTCATGTATTAGTTGAACTAAACTACAGTATGTCAGTATTTTCAAAGTAAATGCAAGTGTATATTTGTATGTTTAGTTCCTCACCGGTTGTCATAATGGCCGATCTGATTGCAGAGGGGCTCCATGTTGGGTTTTTTGATTTGACCGTGGCAGCAATCCCGGAAACATGGGGACATGCCATAGAGGTTCCTGAGATCAGATTATACAATGGCGGCTCCTTTCGTGGCAGCAATCCCGGAAACATGGGGACATGCCATAGAGGTTCCTGAGATCAGATTATACAATGGCGGCTCCTTTCCTTCTGGCGCCTCAGCCGTGTCATTTGCTATCCATGCTGCAAGAATATTAACTCCTGGTGCTGCAATATCAGGCTGCAAGACATTCAATTTTATAGCTTCATCAATAGCAGCTTAGGAAGAAACAAGTTCTGAAACAATGAAGCAGACAAGGGTTACCTTGAGAATGTTCTTTGGGATGGTTGAAGGACCTCTAGATGAGAAATATGCTATGGTAGGTGCTGGTGTGTACTTTGTGGGTGATGTAGTACGCAAGATTGTGGCAACTGGGTTTCTACAAATCTCAAAATGGATAAAATTAGAAGTTTAAAACATGATCTAATTGGGATTAGTTTGACTAGGGTAGCTGTATTACTTTGTTGAGTTGATGTAGGAAAGAACCTTGGTGTTGTCCTCTGTACGGATCACCGATGTGGGAAATGTACCATATGAGGAAGCGAGCTGTCTTGATTCATCATCAATCACGACTGCTCCAACACCTCCTAGCTTCTTCACTTCATCCTTTTTCTCACTCACCGAGTAGAAGTTATCTACATGCTCACATACAACAATCTTTCCTTTGACGAGTTCTTGATCCAAGGAATCTGGGTGGCAGTTCCTAGAACAAAACGAGTGATTGGAATAACCATTCATTTCATTTGGGGTGAATGTTAATAAAATTTCCATAAATTTATTTATAGTTCAGCACCTTGAATCATTTACGTCTGCTTCTTTTTTCTTGGCTGATTTTGCGTATATAATCGGATATGCAGGGGACTTTTGAATGTCGGCAAAATGAATGCCTCCACCCTGTGTACGAGTTAAAAGAAGAGAAATGACGAATCCCACCGACTGAAAAACAAGAAAAAGGATAAAGAAGAGGATCACTACCTTAATTACTGAGTTGTCACCTAGTATAACATCAGACTCAAAATCCCGGTCAATTGTGCTAGCGGCAACAGTTATGATCCAAGGTGCGGCATTCACAACTGATCCAGGGTCGGGTCCATCATTGCCTGCAGAGCAAACCACAGTAATTCCATGTTGCACCGCGTGGAATGCTCCTAGGGCAATGGGATCATCTGTGATTTGTGGTTTTATAAACGATGATGACCCAAGGGACAGTGATAAAACATCAACCCCATCGGCAATTGCATCATCAAAAGCTGCTGCCAATATGCTGGATCCACGGCATCCATTAAAAGGGGAACATACTCTGTATACAGCTATTCTTGACCCTGGGGATCCTCCCTTGGCTGTCCCTGCTGCCAGCCCGTAGTAAGATGTACCCTGAACTTCACTTCCAGCTGCCGTTGACGCTACATGGGTACCGTGTCCAACCATATCCCTCGGAGAATGGTACCTAATTACAGACCTTTCGTCAACGTCATAGGATCTTGCCCCAATTATTTTTCTGTTGCCGAACAAAAGATTAGGACTTGTTTATGAGATTAATAAATTGTAATTAATCATACGGCTTAGAGGTTACTTGTTGCAGTTGGAGGTGTTGAAATCCTGAGCTGCTGCGCAAGTGCCATTCCATCGTGATGGAATTGGACCCATGGCCTTGTCGTTAAAACTCTCCGACTCGGGCCAAATTCCTATGTCCATTGTATTTAATGTTAGTGCTCACGTAACTTGAAGCTTGTAAAAAGAATGAAATTTGCATTGCGAATTGCGTGATGAACATCTTACAAACAACAAAACACCCAGAGAACTAATGTGATAGAATTCTACAAATTGGCGAACATGTTTCACCTGTATCTAGGATGCCAATGATGGCATCTGAATCATGAGATGTCGAGTTCGAGTTCAAGCCGGGATTTGAGTCAATCACGACCGAAGTTTGAAAGTTCAAGAAATCCCAAGAGCGAGTAGTGTGGAGTTCTAACACAGGGTCTGGGAATACTGACACAACTCCTTGTCTCTTGGCAATTGAATGAGCCTCATCTGCTGATAGATGTGCTGCAAACCCAGTGAAACCATTTTTGTAGCTGTGAATCAGGGCATCCTTTTTCCTGAGCAAATGAAATTTTAAACTTTGACATCAGATTAATTCAAAGATGAGAAAGTCAACAATTTGAAACAAAGATGTTTTAGTGCATCCACCGTTTTAACAACGAGCTCATAAGTTGAGCATGATCGTCCCTTAATGAACCGTTGGTCGACGGCGCTGCCCCCATATACACGATATAAACACCATCCTTCTCTTCAGCAGCTCCTCCGATTTCTGTTAGCAATGAGACATAGATTAAAAAGGACGTCAAACTGAAAATGAATGGAACGAGGGGCTTCATGAAGTTGAACTCAAATGGCTTCGATTGACAAGTTAAAGCTCCCAGCCAACTCCACGATATAAATACTAGTAAGATGGTGGTCCGTGCACGCGCACTGCAAATCATTTAAGCAATAATATCCACCCAAAGTGTGTTTTCGCTTATCTAATGTGCCACACCGGTTGACATGGTGGTGGTATGGTGGTGATGGTACTGAGAAGTGGTGATGATAGGCTGAGAGCAAAGACACCTCAACAGTTTAAGACAATAAAAACAAAAATATATTATTAGCATCTAATACGAAACAGGTAACTGATTTGCCCATTCCTATAGACGCTATACCCAAAAACCACAATTTGTGGGGAAAGCATTCGTGCACTGAGGAATATTATCTAAGTTCTTTTCCCACAAATATAACAGAGTATAATATATGATAAACTACCTATTTTGGTATCTCACATATTCACACGTTTTTGTTTTGATCCACAAGTTTTTTTTTTACAAAATCATATTTAACATGATATGTAATTTTTATTCTAGTATCTCACTAGAATTTAAAGATGACCAATTAGAAATATACATGTTTAGTTCACATTGCATGTAATTTTCATGCTACACATCAATAATTTATCGATATCATTTGATTATAATCGTATATAACCATTGATAGATCTAGTCATTATTGGTATGACAAAGATTATTTTGATCATATATGAATATAGTTGATTGACAAGATTGTGACATCCAAGTGAGAGATTATTTAATTAAAATATGTCATTGTGGGCATATATATATATATATATATATATATATATATATATATATATATATATATATAATATATAATGTTATTATAAAATATGGTGCGAAATTAAGTAATTCAATATGTTACACATAAGTACTAAAGTATACATGTCATAAGTACTGAAGTATTACAGAAATAAAGGTTAATATCATAAGTTGTATAGAAAAACTATAAATATATAAAAACGAAATCAATAATTAATTATATAAATAGAGAATTGTCTCAAGAACTAAATTAAATTGTGTTTTCTTTTTTTATATATTTTACGACAAGAATAAACTTATTTTCTTAAAAGATTTCAATATAACAATACTCGTACTTCTAGGTCTCGGTGGTTTTTCCACAAATATAATGGAGTATAATATAAAGTTATAATATATATGATGGATTACAACTTGGTGATCATTTTCCAAGCCAGTCCATCACAACTTACTAGAAGGTGAATTATGTCATAATTAAAACCAAGTGATATTAGCCCAACATGCATTTTTGTAGCACTACCAGAAAGGATTCAGAAGTTGGAGTAAGAAATTAACATCCGAGTGTTAAGCATCATTAACATCTATAATCAAATGTTGTATGATTAGAGCCAAATCAGAAATCCAGGAAGGAGGTGAAAGAGATTTTGATGGTTAATATTAGTGCTTGAGCTTCAGAAACAAGAGTAGTGGGTTCTGACAGTAATTACATTTAGGGGCACGCTCTTCTGCAGATCTCATCATTCTTAAAATATGATGCCACCAAACAAAGATCACAATGTGTACAAGTTCTTGGGATTGAAGAAGGAAGCCATCCTGAATACAGTAGCAAGTTTATCTCGTATTCTAAGTGCGCACACCACTAAAATCTTGTACTTGATTCAGCATTACCAAAGATAAATCTGTCAGGATAAAGAGTATCTACTTGTTTACACTACTATACATTTTTTTGCAAGTAATTCCCTCCCCACACGTATCATTTGTGAACATCTAGCTGAAAATAAACTATTAAAATTAATATTAAAAAATAAAATATATTTATAGAAAAAATAATCTAAAATTGTCTATTTCAAGTATAAATAAACAAATCAAAAGTTTAGGCTAAAGTTTTCAAATGAATAAAATAATATGAAAATGGATGATTTTGTCCTTATTTAAAATCAGGGTGGAATTAAGAACTTATTGTAACGGGGTTAAAATATTTTTTAATGATAAATACAATTTTTTTTAATTGAGAGGTTGATAAATAAAAACTTTAGTTTTTTTAAATATATTTTTTAATAATAATTAATAATTAAAAATATAAATCACGATAATTTCTAAGTCTGATTTGATAGAAAACTTTTGCCCTTGAATGTTTTTTCTCTAATAGCAGTGATTATAATGGAAAAGCAGTTACTTCAACTCTAAACTTAAAAAAAACATTTCTTTTAATTATTAATATTATTCAATAAATACAAAAGGATATCTTTAAATATTTTTTAATACTTTATGTGATTATAATATAGTATTTATTCAAAAAAATTTAATCAATTGATAACGTATACACGCCCTGTAGACATAACCACTCGAACTCAAAATCTTTAGAAAGAACAACATTCTCTTCAATCACTTAGATCATGACTTCATGAGTTCAAACATCATTAAATGTTAAAATGTTAATTTGAGTACAAAAGACATTTATATAGGTTTTAAAACTATAAATATGATTGATTTGTAATAAATATGTTTTCGGATAAACAAATTTAGATGTTTAAAAACAGATTAGATTTTGTTTTGAGTCACTTTGATAACTAATTTGATATTTTAAGTTCAGATCAGATTATCAAATATAAGTATCATATATAATCTTTAAATAAAATAATTTTAAAAAATAAGATAATTAAATGTTAGAAGATTAATTATATAGATAAATTATTTACCATTATATCTATAATTATACGTGAAATAATTTTTATAAATAAACGTTCACATAAATATTTTTTCTCTTTATTTACAATTAAAAAATTAACTTAATACAAATTGAGTTTAACTCAATCGATATTATTATTAATATAATATATATAAAAAGACTTATGTGATTTTTCAAGTTCAGATCAGAATATCACAATCAAATATGCATACCATATATAATCTTTAAATAAAATAATTAAATATTAAAAAATGAAAAATATTATATAAATAAATTATTTACTATTATATCTATAATTATACGTGAAATAATTTTTACAAATAAATGTTCACATAAATGTTGTTTTCTCTTTATTTACTTTAAAAAAATTAACTTTATAAAAATCGAGTTTAATTTTAATATATGTGAAAAGACTTATATGATATTTTAAGTTCATATAGATCATCACGATCAAATATGGGTATCATATATTAATCTTTAAATAAAATAATTTTAATAATAAGATAATTAAATGTTAAAATGAAAAAATGATTATATAAATAAATTAGTTACTATTATATCTATAATTATACGTGAAATAACTTTTATAAATAAATGCTCACATAAATGTTTTTCTCTTTATTTGCATTTAAAATAATTAACTTAATACTATACGAACTGAGTGACCTCAATGATAAAAGTTATTGTTATTTTTTGAGGTCCCGAGCTCGAGCACTGAGAATGTCAGGAGTGTGAACGCTCAATGTCAAATGGTTGATTGTTATTTTTGAACAGATATCGTGTATTTACTCTAAATTAATAAAAAAAATTAACTTAATACAAATTGAGTTTTATTCAATTTATATTATTATTAATATATATATATATATATTATTAATCTAGAGTGATTATAAGTTGTAATATCTATTCTAAAAACTCAACCATTTGACAATAAACACTCAAATATCCTGCAGTCGCTAGTTCTCGAACATAGAATCTCTAAGAATAACAATTATCCTTTTAACCAATGAGATACATAATTAAATATACTTAATGAAGAGGCTTAAATATACATGCATCGTACTAAATTATTCAAAAAAATTAATCTAATATTATATAAGTAAGGAAATTATTACTGTATCAGGTTGCTTTGTTTCTTGATCAAAGGGATTAGAGTTTCTCTATGAGGATCCCGAGTATCGCATCTCCTGTTTGTGATGACAGTCTGATTTTCCTACAAAATTCCATGAGCGAGGCTAATCGAACAGAAGGGATTCTAAATATATATGAAGTTGCTCTAGCCAACGTGCGAACCTGGATAAATTTGTCCTTTATTTTATTTCGCAAACGATTAGAAGGACTCCCACTTTACATAGGTAAAAATAAAACTCATACATTTGGATGCACGAGTTGTTGGATGGACAAAGCGATTATTATCTTACGAGGGTAGGGAAGTATTCCTTAAATCCGTTGCTCATGCTTTACCGAAATATGAGATGTATTGCTATATGCTCCTCAACACTTGTTTAATGAGATCTCTAGCATCATACGCCGTTTTTGGAGGGCTGGAAAGATTTTTGAGCACGATTGGCTGTAAGTGGCATGGTCTACAATCTATACACCGAAAAGTCAAAGGGCTTGGTTTTCTTGATCTACGATCATTTAATTTAGCAATGCTTGGTAAACAAGTTTGGCGTTTAATTCAACACCCCGATTGTTTGTTGGAACGAGAATGGAAAGAAAAGTACTATCCAAATAGTGCCATACTTAGTGCTCTTGTCGTAACAAAAGCTTCTATGCATGAAAATGTATCCACAAAACCATTTAGGCTTTTTCAGGTGCATTATATTTGACAGTTGAAAGGGATAGCTACATCCATACGACCAAGGATAAATGGGGTGGATCGAAGTTAGTTTCCCTTGCCAGAGATTAGTCATACATATATTCTCGCGCAACAGTTACATGCATGACATTGCATGGTGGAACGTCTACCTGGAACGAGTCAAAGGTACACCATATTTTTAACATTATTGACTCTGATTTGAGTTTATTGACCTCCATTACTCCAATCCAAAGGGATGTGATCATATGGGGTAACCATGATTTAGGTATATACTCTGCTCATTCAGGTTACTGGTAGCTTCAACGTCCCAATCATTCTCCGACGTCTACTTCCAAAATTTGGAAAATAGTTGCTAAACTACAGATCTTTCCTAAGATTAAGATCTTTGATTGGCGATTGGCGCATGGTGGGTTACTGATTGGTAAATGATTACGTGCACTTGGCTTAAGTGATGGCCTTTGTGAAATGTGCAGCTTGGATGAAGAGACGGTAGTTCATATTTCACGAGATTGCTCCTATGCCCAAGAAACTTTTATTTGCACAGATATGTAAGGTATGTTCTTGTCTAGTCTTCTTATTTCTCAATTGGATTAGTTAGACTTGGTGATTACTAAGTTGGATCTAGCTGGCCTTGCTTGCTTTTCTGTTTTGCTTTGGAACCTCTAGAATGGAAGGAATTCCAAGGTGCATGATAACAAGATTCAACCCCATGGATACTGGCTACCAATGATGCCTCCCTTCAGCACGACTACCTATT